TAATAATAAATAAACAGAATAATAATAAAGAAAAACATAAATAAATAATAAAATAATTTCACCATAACAATCTACAGTTGCAGGGTATCTGCTAGTCGAGCACTACCCAAGCTAAACTATTTTTTTTTTCTGCAGCCTGCACATTCATTATCTGTTATCTGGTCAGCTAGATCTTGACTTACCCATATTATTTGGATATAATGCTGGCAGTGTGCCATCCTTTTGGTATCTGGGCGGTGGCATGTCCGTGCTCTCAACCAGATATGTCGATGCCGCCTTCTTGCGTGCCTCGTCCTAAGAGAGAAGGAGAGAGAGAGAGAGAGAGAGAGAGAGAGAGAGAGTATGAGAGATAGAGTGGGCAAACAGGCAGTATAAATGCAATGCATGTAAAAGCTGAGAACTTTCCGCCCACGTCGCTGTTCTGTTTGTGAAGTGCTTCGTGTTTTCGTAATTACTCTCTACTTAAGCTTCTGTTTTTTCCTTTTTTTTTTGTTTTTTTTTTCTTCTTTTTTTTTTTTGTTTGCGGAAGGCGTTGAAAGTTGAATTGACAGCGCGCGACACCTTCGTTTAGGGCGTCGCACGCTGCGTATACGCAACTTTGATTTATGGCATGCCCCTTGGCCAGAGAAGGGGGGAGGGCGGTCGGCAAAATGACGTTTTACAGTTAACAGTCAACATTAGGCGGCAGTTTTTGTGGCAAGTGCAGATTACGCGCATAATAAATGATTTTCATAATTTGAAGCGATTTGTTTGTTTGCCTACGCTCGGCTCGYAATGCGCTCGGAATTCGGTTTGGTTACGCGGCCCAATACGGAGGACGATGCCGTGGCTCATCATTATCAGCGCGAGCGGAGCGTAATTAATCACAACGTCTTAGATGCCGGCTGCCGAGTTGCCGGTTGCCAGCATCCGGCTGAAGGCCTTCTTCTGCCCCTACCCCTGCCCCAGCCTCCTGCTCGTTTGCCAGCCGGTTTGCCCGCCTCCTGGCTGGCAGTTCCGGCGACCTCGATGTCAAACATGTTCGCTACCCCAGCCAATTCCCAGTTCCGGCCTTCAGAGTTGTAATTTTCAAGCGACTGGCAATAACTTAAGACGGGCGTATCATATTCTTTTTGCTCTGTTCCGAGCAGACAATTTTTTTTTTTTTTTGGGATCCATTGTACTCAATCGCGTTCACAAATTGCATATTCATGTAGAACAGAACAGAGCAGAAAAAAAAGGCATTATAGCCGGGCTAAAAAGTGGCGGCATACTCACAATATATTCCGGTTGACTGCCCTCATTGGAGTAGGACTCGCTCTTCTCCGAAACGCTGGACAGCGTCTCGCCGGTGACGGTGTCATTGTACGAGCTGGGCGCGTACATTTCGATGGTCGCCGTTTTGCCTGGTTGATTTGTAGTTTCCGCCACTGGATGCGCCACATCCAGACAGAGTAAGAGATGGAGAGGGGGGGGGTAACAGCATGTCAGAGGACACAGACACATTCAGCGCAGTAAAAAAAATATAGGAGAAAAAGTATGTGTGGGCATAGGTAGGGTAGAAAGTATGCGGCGCAAATATTGAAAAGGTGTAATTGGCAGTGACATGCCGAAAATTGATTGGGCGGTGGTGCGGGCGGTGGTGCGCAGTGCGCCAGTCATTTGGAACACCGCACGGACGGGAGGATGCAGCAAGAAGAGAAACAGAATCAGATGAGAGAGGGTGGGGGAGATGGGTAGTGCGAGTTATCCGGATATAGCGGGTGTTTGTTGTAAATGTCAGGGGCGTGGTCGTGCCGATGGTGGTGGTGGTGTTGGTGGTGGTGGTGACGGTCGCGGTAGTGACAGTGGCAATGCCAGTGGGCATAGTTTCAGGCAATGCAAATCAAATGCAAATAGCAAAGATTGTCAAAGTGCAGCGCAAGCAAATGTTGCGCCAGCGGCGGCCGAAATAAATGTGGCAAGGGCGGGGAGAGCGGGGGGTTGGGGGCAATGGAAGTGGATGGATGTGGGGTTTGAGCATTGGGGTGGGTTTCAGTGGGTCCAGCCGGTACGGGCCGTGCATTGCGTTAAATTATTCACATTTTGGCGCAGCGTGGCCAACGTGGATTTTGTTGGCCGTGGTCAAGGGTTAAAATCAATGCATTCGATGTTCAGTTTTTGGCGATGCGGAGTGGGGGCCAGAGTGGGGGGCCAGAGTGGAAATGCAATTAAATTTGTATATAAAATGCCATTAAATGATTCATGGCACATTTTCACAAATGGCAACGACAAAATGACCGCGCCACATGGTTAACACGTGTTTTATACAAAGTCAATGTGCGTGCGTGTGTGTGTGTGTGTGTGTGCGTGACGTTAAGTGTGCGTTGAGTGCATTTGTTGTTTTCATATATCCATAAGCGAAAGCAGGTTCAGGTGTTCAGGTTACATGTTGGGAAAAACAAAAAAGAAAATATTGRAAAAATTATGTAAGAATATATTCGAATACATATAT